GCCTTACCAAGGCATTGTAAAGTGGTATTAACACTTCACGTGATCTTGATTCTATCCCTCTTCTAGTTTATAATATTCCTGGTGCTCACTCTTATTTTATTTGTTTAGAATATACATGTACGTATGTATATGTATATATATGATAAGTTTTTTTCTGGACAGACCGGTCTGGTTGATGCACCTTGTGGTTTTTTGTTTTGTTTTTTGTAACTGCTATACTGCAGTTCTACTATTATGATCACTTTTGCCTTGCAGCCCCAACCTAGGAGCGTTAAGCAGGCTTTACTGCGATACACTACAAATTCGAATTTCTTTTTTTGTTGACAAAGAGTTAAAGAGTTAAACGGGAGACTAGAATAGCTATTTCAAGCTTTTTAGCTCTCATCAGCTAGCCATAACCCTTTATGGGATTTGAACCTGGGAAAGCCTGCATGCTAGGCAGTTGTATTAACCTCTAGGCCACTGGCTTTCCTCCTGTCTTTTGTCAGCTGAGCCAAGGGAATATATGATAAGTTTTTTCCGGACAGACCGGTCTGGTTGATGCACCTTGGTTTTTTTTAACTGCTATATTGCAGTTCTATTATTATGATCACTTTTGCCTTGCAGCCCCAACTTATCCCGTTTAACTCTTTAACTCTTTGCCAACAAAAAAAGAAGTGTGTGTGTGTGTGTGTGTGTGTGTGTATGTGTGTGTGTGTATGTAGCTCAGGGTCAAACTGTGGGGTCCATAGTGCTCTCTGAGCTGGGTTGTTTTCTTGCAGACGTTTCATAACCCAATTAGGTAACATCATCAGTGCTAGAAGAGAGAGAGGTTTGTGGAATGGAGGAGAAGGAGGAGGAGAAAGAGGGAACAAGGGAGCATTGGAGAGAAGAAGGAGAGAAGTGGAGAGGAGGAGAAGGAGGAAGACTGTGGGGTCCCTGGTGCTCCCTGCGTTTGATTGTTTTCTTGCAGATGTTTCATTACCCAACTAGGGAATATCATGAATGCCAGAAGGGACTGGGGTTAGTGGGAGGAGGAGCAGGAGGCAGACTGTGGGGTCCTTGGTGCTCTCTGAGCTTAGGGGTTTCCTTAAAGACATTTCATGACCCAACGAGGAGACATCATCAGTGCTAGAAGGAAGGAGGAGGAAGATGAGGAGGAGGAGGCGAAACGGAAGAAGAAAGAGGAGGAGGCAGACTGTGACGTCCTTGATGCTCTCTGAGCTGGGTGGTTTCCTTGCAGACATTTCATGACCCAACTAGGTTATGTCATCTGTGGTAGAAGGGAAGGGGGGAGGAGGAGGAGAAGGAGAAGAAGAAAGAAGAAGGAGAAGGAGAAGACAATGACTGTGACGTCCTTGATGCTCTCTGAGCTGGGTGGTTTCCTTGCAGACGTTTCATGACCCAACTAGGTTATGTCATCTGTGGTAGAAGGGAAGGGGAAGAGGAGGAGGAAGAGGAGGAGGAGAAGGAGAAGGAGAAGAGGAGGAGGAGGAGGAAGAAGAAGAGGAAGAGGAAGAAGAAGAGGAAGAGGAAGAGGAAGAGGAAGAAGAAGAAGAAGAAGAAGAAGAAGAAGAAGAAGAAGAAGAAGAAGAAGAAGAAGAAGAAGAAGAAGAAGAAGAAGAAGAAGAAGAAGAAGAAGAAGAAGAAGAAGAAGAAGAAGAAAAGAAGAAGAAGAAGAAGAAGAAGAAGAAGAAGACGACGACTGTGGGGGTCCTTGGTGCTCTCTGAGCTGGGTGGTGTCTTGCAGACGTTTCATGACCCAACTGGCTAACATCATCAGCACTATCTCGCATTTGACCTTATTCAGTATTAGTTGTCCTGACTGACTTTTTCTCTCTTCTTGCAGCTTCCAAGGAGCGATGGAGAAGTTAAAGCGAACGGTGGAGCAGGCCCGGGCTGCCTTCAACACGGGCAAGACCCGCCCGTTGGCTTTCCGGATCCAGCAGCTGAAGGCCTTAAAGAAGATGGTGCAGGAGAAAGAGAAGGAATTCTCCGCAGCCCTGAAGGCGGATCTCAACAAGGTTTGTGCCGTAGCGTTTCGGTTGAGTTGACGGTGGTATGGAGAACGCTGGGGAGGGAGAGGATTCCCAAGTAGCTGTTTGGTTGTCTGAATGCAGTCGACCTGGGATTTCTCTTGCTGGTGTGGGATGAGGACCCACTTCAACCAGGGCCCGGGAGGTCTTGCTTGAAGAGTGAGAAGATAATGAGTTTCTATGGTAAAGGAGTTAGTTGTTGAAAGAGATTCAGGAGTTCTTCTCCTGGCAGGGTTTCAGGAAAACTGGAGGGAAGGGGGTCTGGGGAGATCGAAGTGGGAGCTTACCCCAAGAAATCAGGAAAGCGTGAGAAAGAAACTCAAGATTTTCCCACCCTGATTCTCCTTCATACATGGAGGAAATATACAGTGGCTTTTAGTACAATAGAAGCTTACCCCAGGAAATCAGGAAAGCGTGAGAAAGAAACTCAAGATTTTCCCACCCTGATTCTCCTTCATACATGGAGGAAATATACAGTAGTGGCCAAAATTGTGGAAACCTTTTGGGAAAAGTGTACAGTAGAAATGCCACCTTTGGTTAAGTTTCCACCCATTTTTCTTCTCATTTCTTTATAACTGTAGCCTTATTCACTTAATAATGCTATTTTACATCGCTTTCTGGGCAACCAGTCAACTCTTTGCACCATGACTTTAATTTTATTCCGTTTTACAAGCTCACTCAAGGAAAGAACACAAAAAAACCCAGCCAACTTGATAGCCATCACATAACACACTGACACATGTCCTCCTCTCAGTTTCAATACAGAAGATCAATAACTGAATCCTGCTGTGATCTGATTGGCTCATGGCCAAAACAAGATGACACCTGATTGGCTCTCTAAACACTCCTGCTCATTGGCTACAATCAGGTGAAGGAAAGCTACCTGAGATCAACCTGAGCAAGTTGTGCTTCCTTTTTCTGGTTATTTGGCTAGAACATTTCATAGAATACAGTACAGATAATTGAACAAACTTTCTTGCATTACATTCTTGATTAAATGATCTTTCCATTGATATATAATTTTATGGTACTATTCCCAAAATAAGCAGTGTTATTAGCCCTCAAACCTCAAAAATACACTTTCCCCAAAAGGTTTTCCACAATTTTGGCCGCTACTGTGGGAGTTTTAAACAAAAGGTCTTACTATTCATTTATTAAATTTATTTGGTACCCATCTCGCTGCCGGGGGCAAACCTTGCCTGTCTTTATTTATTTTCATTTATTTATTCAACGATGTTCTATCGCAGTGATGGCGAACCTTTTAGAGACCGAGTGCCCAAACTGCAACCCAAAACCCACTTATGCATCGTTGGGTGCCGGGTGGGTTTGGTCCATTGGCTGGGCGTGGCCCATTGGGGGGTGTGGCCCATTGGGGGTGTGGCCCATTGGGGGGGTGTGGCCCATTGGGTGGGCATGGCTGCGGTGGTAACAGCAGACTGGGTGGGACTAAAAAGTTCAATCAATCAATTCCAACTTTGCAAGATCTTTTTTTTCCCGCGAGAAGTTGAAATTGACTGATTGATTGAACCTTTTTTTTTTCTGCACACGGCGGTGGAGGCCTAAAGCGAAAAGGTTTTATAAAACCCAGCTGAAGGCCTAGGACTGGGGCGACGGCACATGTGCCCACAGAGAGGGCTCTGAGTGCCGCCTCTGGCACCCGTGCCATAGGTTCGCCACCACTGTTCTATCGCCTCTTAACTGACACATCGGCAACTCTTTACAGAGTGAATACAACAGCTTCAGCTACGAGTTTATGATCGTGCTGGGAGAGATTGACTTGATGGTGGAGAAGCTTCCCGACTGGGCGAGCCCCCAGGCCGTGGAGAAGACCATCCTCACGCTGAGCGACAAGACCTACATCCATCGCGAGCCCTTTGGCCTGGTCCTGCTCATTGGGGCGTGGAACTACCCCTTCGCCTTGATCATGCACCCCCTGATAGCAGCCATCGCTGCAGGTGCGTGGTTTACTCACTTGAAATGTTGCTGGTTTGATTTCTGGGGGGTTTTTTTAATGCCCTACAGCAGGGGTCCCCAACCCCGGTCCGTGGACCGATACCGTGCATACCAGCAACCGGTCCATACAAACAAGGAAAGCCCCATCCGCGGGATGCAGGCAGCACACAAAACTACACACTCTCCAGTCCATGGAAAAACCTTTCACCATGGAACCGGTCCCTGGTGCCTAAATGGTCGGGGACCTCTGCCCTACAGGTTCTCTTTGAATGTTTTATCACAGAGGTCCCCAATCTATGGGCCGTGACCCACTACCGGGCCGTGGCCTCTTGGCCACCGGGCCGTGTGAGTAGCTGGCCAGTGCACCTTCCCTGGTGCCACTGTTGCTGCAAGTGTTGTGCAGGTGGTGGCAGTGCCGCTAGTATCGTGCGGGTGGCAGTGTTGCCACAAAACTTGCGCAAGAGGCAGCAGCGCTGAGAGTGGCAGGTGCGCGGCAGCGTGCCACATACGGGTGGCGGCATTGCCACGATCCTTGTGTGGGCGGCAGCAGCACCGCAAGAGGCAGGTGGGCCACGGCATGATGCTCGCACAGGGGTGGCATTTGGAGCCTCGTGCTGGGGCAGGATCGCTGCAGGCTGCGGCGCAATCCTTGCGCGGGGACGGCGGCACGAGCTTCGCACCACGGCAGCATCGCTGCGGGCCGTGTCCGATCCTCGCACGGCAGTGGTGGTGTGAGCCTCGTGCCAGGGCAGCATCACTGCAGGCCGTGGCGCAATCCTCGCATGGGGTGTTGGCACGAACCTCGCATTGGAGCAGTGGCGTGATCTTTGCGCCGGGGGGCGGCATTGCTGCGGACCGCGGTGTGAGCCTTGCGCTGGTGGTGGCATGCCGCGAGCCTGGCAGCAGCAGCACCACTAGCCTCACACAGGCACCACCATCATTGAGGGCCTCACGCGCATGTTCGCAGCCCCGTTTGCGTGGTGCGCATGCTCGCAGCCTGTTTGTACGTGTGCGCGCATGTATGGCCACATTCGCGTTTGCGCATGTGCGCGTAAAGCGCCTGCCCCTCCCTCTCCCACCGGGCTGCCAATCCCAAAAAGTTGGTGACCCCTGTTTTATCCGATTGAAAATCATAGCACGCAAGGAAAAAGCGATGGGGAGGGATGAGGAAAAATGCAGCAAGAACGCAACAGATGTGTTGTGCAACCAGCTTGCCCGGGAGAGTGTCGGATAACCTGCCATGGTTAAATAATATATATCCATCCGAGGAAATAGGTGCTTGCCACACACAGATAGTCCTCGACTTATGACCGCAATTGAGCCCAACGTTTATGTTGCTAAGTGAAGCATTGGCTAAGTGAGTTGGCCCCATTTTACGACTTTTCTTTCCACTATTGCGAAGTGAATCACTGCAGCTGTTGAATTAGTTGCTGGTCAAATTGTGATCACGTGACCTTGGGACACTGCGGCCGTCATAAATGTGAGTCCATTGCCAAGTGTCCGAATTTTGATCACGTGACCACGGGGATGCTGCAACGGTTGTGTGACAAACGGTCGTAAGTCACTTTTCAAAGTGCCGTGGTAACTTTGAACGGTCACTAAATGGACTGTCGTAAGTCGTGGACTACCTGTATCATAACACATAGCAAAAATAGTAATCAGATCTGTAAGATAACATTCATTTCCATTAATTGATAAAGACAGAATAAATACAGGCTTACAACTAGTAGCTTAGCAACAATTCGAAGTGGTGACGGACCACCAAAAAAGCTACTTACAACTCTGATGAGTGGAAGGGGAAGGCAGTTCACTTAACATCTCCACAATCCGCTTAACGACCGCAGGGGATTCACTTTACAACCGTGGCAAAGAAGGGTGTGAAATTGTCTCCCGTGCTTCGCAGGGGAAATTCTGGCCCCAGATGTGGCAATAAGTTAAAGATTACCTGTCATTCGTGTTCTGGAGCGCGGGGTTGGACTAGATGACCTCTGGAGGACCTTTTAAATTCCCCAGCTTGAATCTGTGTGTCTTTCAGGCAATGCTGTGGTGGTCAAGCCGTCGGAGGTCAGTGAAAACACAGCCAAGGTGTTTGAAAAACTGCTCCCTCAATACATTGACAAGGTCAGTGTGAACATCCTTTGTTGTGTGACTTTGTGGTCTGGTTGCGTTCAATTTGCCAACAGCCCACGACTTGTGTGTGTTTGAGGGTGTGGCTGTGTTTCTCTCCAAACAGGATNGTTGGGTTGGGTTGAGTTGGATTGCGTGTCAACAGTCCAACTAGTGAACCCAAGAAAAAGAATCATGAAGTCAATTAAGTCCCAGCAGGCAAAACTTTATTGGGTACAGCATCTCAGAACTGAAGAAGTGAAACCAGCTTTGAGTTTTCCCACACAAAAACTTGCTTAGTTAAAAGATAGATTCCTATGCCCCCACCCACTGGGTTTTCACATTGTCCAATTGTACTATTTTTTTTTGTTATGGGAACAGTTCACTTCTCCATCGAGCACCTGTGGCAATGACCTTGGCTGGTGCAGGCTCTCATGGTCCATGAACGGCTTCTTGGCATTCCATTGCGTTCTCTCTCCCTTTTCTTTGACAAGACGATGAAGCTAGCAGGTGTCATAGCAATTCAATTCAATCTTGACATTGCGTTGGATTGGGTTGTGTTGCGTTGGGTTGTGCCGAGTTGGATTGGGCTGGACTGGACTGAACTTTATTTGGCCAAGTGTGATTAGACTTATAGAATAACAGAGTTGGAAGAGATCTTATAATAATAATAGTAAAGTTGGAAGGGACCTTGGAGGTCATCTAGTCCAACCCCCTGCTCAGGCAGGAAACCCTATACCATTTTGGACAAATGGCTGTCCAGTCTCTTCTTAAAAACTTCCAGTGTTGGAGGTCATTTAGTCAGGCTCAAGCAGGAGACCCTATACCAGAGGTCTCCCAATGTTTTGGGCACCAGGGACCAGTTCCGTAGAGAAAGGTTTTCCCACAGACTGGATAGGAGAGACAGGATAGCAGTGTTCCAGTATCTGAGGGGCTGCCACAAAGAAGAGGGGGTCACGTTGTTCTCCAAAGCACCAGAGGGCAGGACAAGAAACAATGGTTGGAAATTGATCAAGGGGAGAAGCAACCTGGAATTAAGGAGAAACTTCCTGACAGTGAGGACAATCAACCAGTGGAACAGCTTGCCACCAGAAATCATGGGTGCTCCATCACTGGAGGTTTTTAAGAAGAGACTGGATAGTCACTTGTCTGGGATGGTATAGGTTCTCCTGCTTGAGCAGGGGGCTGGACTAGAAGACCTCCAAGGTCCCTTCCAGCTCTATTCTATTCTATATTTACAACCTGGATTTGAAGTTCTGAAAGCCATGCCCCCTGGTCAAATGATCACATTTGGGGCATTTGCAGCATCCTGCAGTCATTTGACTACGATTTCAATTTTTTATTTTTTTTTGCCCAATTTTTTTTTTTGCATTTCCTTCCATTTTCCAGTAAAAAAAAAACCCACCCATTGCAGGCAATTGATTCATTTAATGACCGCAGCATTTGCTTAGCGAACGCTTCCCCAAAAAAAGAAGTTGTAAAATTGGGTCGGTCTCGTGGTGACCCCATTTCACGACAAGCATGACTTTAGGACCGTAATCCCAGTTACGGTTGTAAGTTGAAGGCTACCTTTGATGGGGATGCCTGTCCTGAGCATGGGGTTGGGCTGGATGACCTCTAGAGCCCCTTCCTGCTGTAATGTTCTGGGATTATTATTTATTTTTTAATCCTTTAGGCGGATCGCCTGGGGGAAGTACATGAATTGTGGCCAGACCTGCATTGCTCCGGATTATATCCTGTGCAATCCATCCATTCAGAAGACCGTCGTGGAGGCCATTAAAAAGAACATTAAGGTGAGAAGTAGGCCGGGGGTCTTCTGTGTCGTGGAAAGGCCACTCCCGTTGGGGGCAAGACAGGGTCGTGACGGTATCAGGGCTTGGCGTAGGAAGCCTCCGGGCGAATGGATGTTGAGAAACGTGGCTTGCTCCTTGAGCAAAGCTCCAGAGAAAACCTATTTTGTCGGCTGGGATTAGCGGCAGAGCAACTTCGATTGCGAGTAGCAACACAAATATTTGGGAGGAGAATAAAATGGGAATGGCTTAGTTTTGCACTGAAGGCTCAGCAAAAGCCTCCCGGGGATGCAGCTGCAGGGGAAGGGTGTAATCCACACCCCCACAAGCCTTCGAGGTAGGCCAGGCCACGAGAGAAAGCCCACGGGGATTCCAGGGTGAAGTAACAGAATTTTAATACAGTAAATGCAAGGTGTTTCTTTTTCCCCTTTTATACTGAAGAAAATCAGGCTGGAATGATCTGTCCCCTTTTTCCCCTTCCCTTCCCTTTCATTTCCTTCCCTTCCTCCCTCCCTCCCTCCCTTCCTTCCTATTTTTTCCTTCTTCCTTCCTTCCCTCCTTCATTTCTTCCCTTCCTCTTCTTTTCCTTCCTTCCTTCCTNGCCTTCTCCCTTCGTCTCTTTCTAGCTCCTACAATCCTCACGGACGTCAATCCGGAAGCCCGAATCATGCAGGAAGAGATTTTCGGCCCCCTCCTGCCCATCATGGCGGTGAAGGGCGTAGAGGAAGCCATCCAGTTCATCAACCAGCGGGAGAAGCCCCTGGCCCTCTACGTCTTCTCCAACAACAACAAGGTAGGCTTTGCATTCCCACATTCAAGGCCTGGTTCCGGGTCCTGGCTAAGCGATTCAGAAGCCCTTAAATTGAGGTACCTGGAGTGATTGCTTCCTCCTGACATAAAACTTGACTTTTTATTAAGAAGTATAGTTCTTTCCTTCCCTCTCCTTCCCATCTCCTTCCTTCCTCCTTCCTCCCTTCCTTCCCTCTCCTTCCCATCTCCTTCCTTTCTTCTTTTTCATTCTCATCTCTTTCCTTCCTTCTTTTTCATTCCCATCTCCTTTCTTCCTTCTACTTCCCATCTCCTCCCTTCCTCCTTCCTCCCTTCCTTCCCTCTCCTTCCCATCTCCTTCCTTCCTTCTTTTTCATTCTCATCTCTTTCCTTCCTTCTTTTTCATTCCCATCTCCTTTCTTCCTTCTACTTCCCATCTCCTCCCTTCCTTCCTTCTCATTCCCATCTCCTTCCTTCCTTCCTTCCTTCCTTCCTTCCTTCCTTCCTTCCTTCCTTCTTTCCTCCTTCTTTTCTTTCTTTCTTTCTTCCTTTCTTTCTTCCTTCCTTTCTTTTCTTTCTTTTTTTCTTTTTTTTCTTTTTTCTTTCTTTCTTTCTTTCTTTCTTTCTTTCTTTCTTTCTTTCTTTCTTTCTTTCTTTCTTTCTTTCTCCAATTTATATATAGGGAGTCCTCACTTAACAACCACATCTGGAAGGGCCTAGGTAGCCGTTGTTAAGCAAAGGGATCACATAAGTGTCTTAGAACCAAACAATTTATAACCAATATTCCAGGCCCAGCTCTTGCTGTAATTCCAGGACTACCTGTAATCTTTTTCAGCACCAGCCTTTTCTCCAGGTGCTAATTGAATGTTTTGTTATGTTTTGTTTTGTTATGTTATGTTATGTTATGTTATGTTATGTTATGTTATGTTATGTTATGTTATGTTATGTTATGTTATGTTATGTTATGTTATGTTATGTTATGTTTATTTATTTTATTTTATTTTATTTTATTTTATTTTATTTATTTTATTTATTTTTATTTTTTATTATTATTTTATTTTATTGTATTATTTTATTTTATTTTATTATTTTATTTTATCTTATTTTATTTTATTGTATTATTTTTTATTTTATCTTATCTTATTTTATTATTTTTTTATTTTATCTTATTTTATTTTATTTTATTATTATTATTATTTATTTATTTATTTATTATTTTATTTTTTTATTGACCTACAGCCATTTATTTAGTGACCCATTCAAAATTACAACAGTACTGAAAAAAGCGATTTAGGACCGTTTTTCACATGACCGTTACGGCATCCCCCGCGGTCACAGGATCAAAATTCAGACATTGTATTATTAAATAGATGATTTAATATGGTGGGAAATAGACAACTCTTAGAAAATAGAACGAGATTACACTCAAATAGATAAAATGTGTATTTTGGATATTAGATTTTGTTATGAATTGAGACAAGGGAAATCTTGGTTACCCAAAGCCTGAAAATTATAAATATCAAAGATTAAATTGGAAGACTGACGAAAAACTAAAACTTGGGCAAAAATTAATAACAGGAGACGGATGGTTTATGAAGATTGAATGTAATTAAAATACGTATAAGCTAAACGTTTATTGATAAATGTAATAATGATGTTTTTACTGAGTTGATATAACTAGAATTGTACTGGCTTGAATACAAGACAGTAAATGTTAAGGGAAAAAGAGAAGAAATATCTGATGTTGTAACCTGAGATTTGCACTAAAGACTTTGTTATAGAACTATTGATTAACCCAGTCACCACGTTGCTTTTTTTAAATACTTACTGTAAATATAAAACTGGAAAATTAATAAAATGTTATAAAAAAAAAATTCAGACACCTGGCAACTTGCTCGTATTTACGACGGTCTCAGTGTCCCAGGAGGGGTGACATGATCCCCTTTTGTGACCTTCTCACAAAGTCAGTGGGGAAGAAGCCAGATTCACTTAACGACCGTGTCACTAACTTAACAACTGCAGTGATTCACTTAACAACCGTGGCAGGAAAGGTCGTAAAATGGGGCAAAGCTCCCTGAACAACAGCCTCAGCCACAAAAAATTGGGACTCCACTGTGGTGTACAGGTAGTCCTCAACTTAAGACCACAATAGAGCCCCAAATTTCTGTTGCTAAGTGAGACACTTCAGTGAGTTTCGCCCCGTTTTACGACCTTTCTTGTCACCGTTGTTAAGTGAAACACTGCGGTGGTTAAGTTAGGAACACGGTCGTTAAGTGAATCTTGCTTTTTCCCTTGACTTTGCTTGTCAGAAGGTCGCAAAAGAGGATCACGTGATCCCGGGACGCTGCAACCGTCGTAAATGCGAGCCAGTTGCCAAGCGTCCTAATTTTGATCATGTGACTGCATCGGTCGTGTGAAAAACTCGCATCAGTCCCTTTTTTCAGTGCCGTTGTAACTTTGAATGGTCACTAAACCAACTGTTGTAAGTCGGGGACTGCCTGTATTCTCTCCTACCCATTAATCCGTCCAAGTACGAGTCGCCATCGATTTTTCATCCAACGGCCTTTGCTTTGATCTCCTCCCTCTTGTCTCCCAGGTTATTGATAAAATGATTGCCGAAACCTCGAGCGGCGGAGTTACCGCCAACGATGTCCTTATGCACTTCTCCATTCCAGGTTTACCTTTCGGAGGCGTTGGTGAGTCTCAGATTAGACCCAAAGTTGCCCAGCTGAGTTTCATGCCTGAAGCAGGACTAGAACTCACCGCCTCCTGGTGATTGGCCCAAAGTCACCCAGCTGGGTTTCATGCCTAAGGCAGGACTAGAACTCACCGTCTCTTGGTGTTTGAGCCAAAGTCACCCATCGGGGTTTCATTCCTAAGGCGGGACTAGTACTCACCGTCTCCTGGTGATTGGCCCAAAGTCATCCAGCTGGCTTTCATGCCTAAGGCGGGGCTAGAACTCACCGTCTCCTTGTGATTGGCCCAAAGTCGCCCAGCTGACTTTCATGCCTAAGGCGGGACTAGAACTCACCGTCTCCTGGTGATTGGCCCAAAGTCACCCAGCTGACTTTCATTCCTAAGGCGGGACTAGAACTCACCGTCTCCTGGTGATTGGCCCAAAGTTGCCCCGCTGACTTTCATGCCTAAGGCGGGACTAGAACTCACCATCACCTAGTGTTTGGGCAAAGTCACCTAGCTGGGTTTCATTCCTAAGGCGGGACTAGAACTCACCGTCTCCTGGTGATTGGCCCAAAGTCACCCAGCTGACTTTCATTCCTAAGGCGGGACTAGAACTCACCGCCTCCTGGTGATTGGGCCAAAGTCACCCAGCTGACTTTCATGCCTAAGGCGGGACTAGAACTCACTGCCTCCTGGTGATTGGCCGAAAGTCACCCAGCTGGGTTTCATTCCTAAGGCGGGACTAATACTCATTGTCTCCTGGTGATTGGCCCAAAGTCACCCAGCTGACTTTCATTCCTAAGGCGGGACTAGAACTCACCATCTCCTGGTTTTTGCAGTGTTCTCCTCTCTCCAGGTTGGCCCAGCTACGACCCCCTCCCTTGAAATCTTCTCTTCCCCACAGGTAACAGCGGCATGGGCGCCTACCATGGCCATTTCAGCTTCGACACCTTTTCCCATCGGCGCGCCTGCCTCATCCGGACGTTCAAGATGGAAGCTGCCAACAGTATTCGGTACCCCCCGAACAGCCAGAAGAAGGTGGATTGGGCTAAATTCTTGGTCCTGAAGAAGTTCAGCATGTGGAAGTTTGGTCTGGTCGCCCTGGCGTTGTTGGGGATTGTGGCCGCCATTGTGATCAAGGTGAGCCCTGGCCAGGATGCTTTTGCACAGGCTGGTCTGTCGGGATGTCAGCCCTCCGAGGTAGGCCGAATCAAGAAATAGAGCCCGCCCCACAAGGCTTCCAGAAATGCTATAGGTCAGGGGTGGGGAACCTTGGCTCTTTTAGGACTTGTGGACTTCAACTCCCAGAATTCCTGAGCCAGCCATGCTGAGGGGAAAGGGAGAGGTTTCCAAGCTGAGCCATGCTGGCTCAGGAATTCTGGGAGTTGAAGTCCATGAGTCATAAAAGGGCCATAGTTCTCCACCCATGTCTCAGGAATTCTGGGAGTTGAAGTCCACAAGTCACGAAGGAACCATAGTTCCCCATGCTGGCTCAGGAATTCTGGGAGTTGAAGTCCATCAGTCATGAAGGGGCCATAGTTCTCCACCCATGTCTCAGGAATTCTGGGAGTTGAAGTCCACAAGTCACGAAGGAACCATAGTTCCCCCATGCTGGCTCAGGAATTCTGGGAGTTGAAGTCCACGAGTCATAAAATGGCCATAGTTCCCCACCCATGCTACAGGTAGTCCTCGACTTACGACCACTTATTTAGCAACCGCTTGAAATTACAGGTCATCCTCGACTTAACGCCCACAATTGAGCCCCAAGTTTCTGTTGCTAAACAAGAGACCATTAAGCGGGTTTTGCCCCATTTGACAACCTTTCTTGCCACCGTCGTTAAGTGAGTCATTGCAGTGGTTAAGTTAGTCACATAGTTGTGAAGCAAATGTGGCTTCTCCATGGACTTTGCTGGTCACAAAAGGGGGTCACGTGACCCCAGGACGCTGCGACTGTCGTAAATATGAGCCAGTTGCCGAGTGTCTGAATTTTGATCACGTGACCGTGGGGGGGTGCTGCTGCGACGGTCGCTAAGTGTGAAAAACGGTAACTTTTTTCAGTGCCACTGTGACTTTGAACGGTCGCTAAACGAATGGCTGTAAGCCAAGGACTACTTGTAAGTAAAGGAAGTCCTCAACATACGACCGCAATTGAGAACAAAATTTCTGTTGTTAAGTGAGGTTGTTGTTAAATGAACTGTTGTTAAGTCGAGCACCGCCTGTAGTCCTTTTCAGCGGCACCGAAAAAGGTGACTTATGACCAATTGCGAACCTTCGCAGCATCCCCGTGGTCATGTGATCAAAATTCAGATGCTCGGCAACTGGCATGGACTTGTGACTGTTGCAGCATCCTGGGGTCAGGTGATCGTCCCGTGGGAGCTTCCCTGGGCCTTCCAACAGGCCCAGTCAATGGGGGAAGGCAGATTTGCTTAAGTGACCATTTGTTTTACTTCATGACCACCGCAAACAAGTTGTAAAATGAGGCTGTCGAGAATGAAACGTTGGCAGCTACGTGCCTCTTCATTTCGACTTGCCGTTAGAGTAAAATAGAATATCAGAGTTGGAAGGGACCTTGGAGGTCTTCTAGTCTAGCCCCCTGCTAAAAGCAGGAGAACGTATACCATTTCAGACAAGTGGCTGTCCAGTCTCTTCTTAAAAACTTTCAGCGTTGGAGCATTCACAACTTCTGGAGGCAAGGAGTTCCACTGGTTAATTGTTCTAACTGTCAGGAAATTTCTCCTTAGTTCTAGGCTGCTTCTCTCTTTGATTAATACAATCTCATTGTACTTACTGATTAATTTTGAATCTGTAAATGACTGCCTATAAATAAACTCTTCTTTAATATAGAATAGAATAGAGCTGGAAGGGACCTTGGAGGTCATCTAGTCCAGCCCCCTGCTCAGGCAGGAGAACCTATATCATTTCAGACAAGAGACTGTCCACTCTCTTCTTAAAAACCTCCCGTGATGGAGCGCCCACGATTTCTGGAGGCAAGCTGTTCCACTGGTTGATTGTCCTCAGGAATTTTCTCCTTAATTCCAGGTTGCTACTCTCCTTGGATTAGTTTCCATCCGTTGCTTCTTGTCCTGCCTTCAGGAGCTTTGGAGAACAGCTTGACTCCCTCTTCTTTGGGGCAGCCCCTGAGATACTGGAAGGCTGCTATCGTGTCACCCCTGGTCCTTCTCTTCATTAAACTATTCTAGGCCATCTCAGACAAGTGATTGTCCAGTCTCTTCTTAAAAATCTCCAGTGATGGAGCACTCATGATTTCTTGTGGCAAGCTGTTCCACTGGTTAAGTGTCCTCACTGTCAGGAAGCTTCTCCTTAATTCCAGGTTGCTTCTCTCCTTGATCAGTTTCCAACCATTGTTTCTCGTCCTGCCCTCTGCTGCTTTGGAGAACAACGTGATCCCCTTGTATAGGAGGAATATACTAAAGAAAACCAAGGTAGAATTACGGGCAGTCCTCAACATACAGCAGTTCAGATCACGTGACGTGTTAATACCACTTTACAAGGCCTTGGTAAGGCCACACTTGGAATACTGCATCCAGTTTTGGTCACCGTGATGTAAAAAAGATGTTGAGACTCTAGAAAGAGTACAGAGAAGAGCAACAAAGATGATTAGGGGACTGGAGGCTAAAGCATATAAGGAACGGTTGCTGGAATTGGGTCTGTCTAGTTTAATGAAGAGAAGGACGAGGGGGGACAGGATAGCAGTCTTCCAGTATCTCAGGGGCTGCCCCAAAGAAGTGGGAGTCAAGCTATTCTCCAAAGCGCCTGAAGGCAGGACAAGAAGCAACGGGTGGAAACTCATCAAGGAAAGAAGCAACCTAGAACTAAGGAGAAACTTCCTGACAGTGAGAACAATTAACCAGTGGAACAACCTGCCTCCAGAAGCGGTGAATGCTCCAACACTGGAAGTTTTTAAGAAGAGACTGGAAAGCCATTTGTCCTAAATGGTATAGGGTTTTCTGCCTGAGCAGGGGGTTGGACTAGATGACCTCCAAGATCCCTTCCAACTTTACTATTATTATTATTATTATTATTATTATTATTATTATTATTATTATTATTATTATTATTATTATTATTATTTAGTGACCGTTCAAAGTTACAATGGCACGGAAAATTAAGTGACAACCCTTTTTCCCACTTCATTTTTTTCAACTTAATCTTCCTCCAAATCAGCCCCAAATCTTCTGCTGAAGGCAGCCCTGTCGTAACGCCAAGGGTTCAACCAACGGCCGTATGTCGAGGACTGTCTGTCCTCTCGTTGACAAGGGCGCCTCACGGATTTTAGGAAGCCGAGCAGGACCGTATCAAGTTTAGCCTTTGGATGAGAGACAACCAGGCAATCTCTCAGCTGGAAAATAGCCTGGGAATTTGGAAAAAAACCCCACATGCCGGGAAACAGCAGGGCCGACCCACTCCAGATTGCTGCCAGGAAAAAGAGGATTAAGGGGTCTTTAGGATGGGATCAGGAGCCACCCTTGATGTGCAGAGGACGGAGCTCAGCTCGGGTTGCAGCACCTGTCAGTCCGTCTGATGATGAGGGGGGGCAGGGGCTAAAACATACGAAGAACAGTTGCCAGATTTGGGTATGTCCGGTCTAGAGAAAAGAAAGACTAGGCGGGATATGATGGCAGCCTTCCAGTATTTGAGGGGCTTCCGTTCTTTCATTATTCTGTTCTATTCTATTTCTGTTTCTATTTCTTTTCTATTCCATTCTTTCATTGTTCTATTTCTATTTCTATTTTTTTCTTTTCTTTTCTATTCTGTTCTATTCTATTCTATTCTATTCTATTCTATTCTATTACATTCTTTCATTATTCTATTCTATTCTATTCTATTCTATTCTATTCTATTCTATTCCGTTATTTCATTATTCTATTCTATTCTATTCCGTTATTTCATTATTCTATTCTATTCTATTCTATTCTATTCTATTCTATTCTATTCTATTACATTCTTTCATTATTCTATTCTATTCTATTCTATTCTATTCTATTCTATTCTATTCTATTCTATTCTATTCTAATATTATTCTATTCCATTCCATTTTATTCCATTCCATTATTTCATTAGTCTATTCTATTCTGTTTTGTTCTGTTCCATTCCATTATTCCATTATTTCATTCTGTTCTGTTCTGTTCTATTTTATTTTATTCTATTCTATTCTATTCTATTCTTTTTCCATTCTTTTTCCATTCTATATTCTATTGTATTCTTTTCTATTTCTTTTCTATTTCTTTTCTATTCCGTTTTTTCATTATTCCATTCTATTCTATTTCTTTTCTTTTCTATTCCATTCTTTCATTATTCTATTTCTATTTTTTTCTTTTCTATTCCGTTCTTTCACTATTCTATTCTATTCTATTCTATTACATTACATTCTTTCATTATTCTATTCTATTCTATTCTATTTTTTTCTATTACATTCTTTCATTATTCTATTCTATTCTATTTTATTCTATTCTATTCTTTTCTATTACATTCTTTCATTATTCTATTCTATTCTATTCTATTCTATTCTATTCTTATTCTATTTTCATGAACTAACGTTATTTCAAAATGTAACGTATAACCTCTATATAATTTCTTGAATTCCACATATTCTATTCTTCTATTATAGTGATGGCGAACCTTTTAGAGACCGAGTGCCTAAACTGCAACCCAAAACCCACTTATGCATCGTCGGGTGCCGGGTGGGTGTGGCCCATTGGGTGGGTGTGGCCCATTGGATGGGCATGGCTGCGGTGGTAACGGCAGACTGGGTGGGACTAAAAAGTTCAATCAATCAATTCCAACTTTGCAAGATCTTTTTTTTTCCTGCGAGAAGTTGAAATTGACTAATTGATTGAACCTTTTTTTTTTGTACATGATGGCGGAGGCCTAAAGCGAAAAGGTTTTATAAAACCCAGCTGAAGGCCTAGGACTGGGGCGACGGCGCGCGTGCCCACAGAGAGGGCTCTGAGTGCCACCTCTGGCACCCGTGCCATAGGTTCGCCACCACTGTTCGATTATTATCATGTTTATAATCATATATTCTGGCCATTTTGAGTATTATCCTAATTTTAGCTGACCCATTTTATCTGACCTCACTCAACGTTTCTTTGACGTCCCACCCCTGGTTCAGGTATGTCTCGACTTCTGATCACGCATTGAAAAACCGTTCAAAGTTATGACGACACTCAAAAAAGGGATTCCTGGCCTATCTTCACACCAACAACCGTTGCAGCATCCCCATGGTCACATGACCAAGAGTCAAAAATTTGGGCAACTGCGTGTACTTATGACTGTTGTAGCACCCCAGGATCACGTGATTTCCCATTTGGAACGTTCCCAGCCGGCTTCCGACAAGCAAAGTCAGTGGGGGAAAGCCGGATTCGCTTAATGACACCATGATTCGCTTAACAACTTCAGTGATTACCTTAACAAAAGTGGCAAAAAATGGGTGATTCGCTTAACAACCGCCCTGCTTAACAACAGATATTCTTGTCCCCATTGCGATCGTCAGCCAAGGACTGGCCTATATCTCTGTCCCTTTTTTCAATGCAGACATTTAATATATAATTATATATAAATAATATAATTAAATATATTAAATGTCTTAAATATATTAAATGTATAATTAAATATATTAAATGTATAATTAAATATATTAAATGTATAGGGTTTCCTGCCTGAGCAGGGGGTTGGACTAGATGACCTCTAAGATCCCTTCCAACATCATCATCATCATCATTATTATTATTACTCTGTTATTCTGTTAAGTGGTTCTCACAGTTATATCAATCTTTTCTCCAAGCAATAACATGAAGCAATTTATCACCCTGCAGAAAATGACTTAGTTAACATCATCATCATCATCATCATCATCATTATTATTCTGTTATTCTGTTAAGTGGTTCTCACAGTTATATCAATATTTTCTCCAAGCAGCTCCAATAACATGAAGCAATTTATCACTCTGCAGAAAATGATTTAGTTAACATTATTACTACTACTACTACTACTACTATTATTATTATTATTATTATTATTAATAATAATAATAATAATAATAATAATAATAGCTGGTTGACACCTAGGATGCTGGTAGCAACCCGTTTCAACCATCAGTGCCAGCCAATTTGAATGTTCAGTTGACTGAGGTTCATGTTTAATGAATAAAAGATAATAATAATAATATAATAATAATATAATTATTGATTATAATTATTGATCATAATATCAATATTAATAATAATATTAATATTATTTATTCTCAATTTTCACAGGTTGTCCTTTTCTGAGAGGGTGATTCCGCAGGGGCCATAACAGAACGTTGTATTAAAAGAAGCTGATCCAGGCGGAGTGTGTGTTTGTGTGTATGCGTGTCGGGTTTTTCTAACACTAACTTACAAGAGTTAACGCAATTTCTTCTTAATCATTAAACACAGGGAGCAGAAGCACCAAAGGCCGATATTCTCGGATGAGAATATATCTTATATAAATATATATATATTCTTCTATATCTTCTCTCCAGGAAGGGACAATTTGCACCAAAGAAAGGAGAGAACAGAATTTCAAGGAAAAGAGATTTATAAGCAGAGAAGCTAGGAAGAGGCCCCCCATTGTTGAATTTTCAAGATATTTTTCTTAATTGAGTCTTTTTTAAAGGAAGCTTGTTCTGTGTGAGGTGGGGGGAAATAAAATTTTCATTGCCTTTTGGGAAATAGCAGCTTCTGCAATTTTTTTTCCTTTTCTTTGAAAGGAGCAATCAAACCTTTTGCATTTTATAGCTGTGTTGTGGCAGGGAACAAAATGGGGACCCGTTTGCACTGATTTTGATTTTTTTTTTTAAGTGTTTCTTTGCTCTGAGGGCAAGTGATTTTGTCCTCGTTTGTCCTCCACAAAGATATTTCTGTATCTCAGGCTTAGCAGCTGAAACTTCAATTCCCAGAACTACAACACCCAGAAACCCCAGCGGGTGGTGGCTGCTGGGTTTTGGAGTGGAGCCACATGGAAGGAGTTTCAAGAAGTAAAAATTCATTTTTCATTTAGAGCAAACAGACCAGCTTTAATTGAATCGGGGGCTGAAAAAGTTATTAATTTTGAAACCTGTGGCCTTCAGTTCCCAGAACTACAACACCCAGAAACCCCAGCGGGTGGTGGCTGCTGGGCTTTGGAGTGGAGCCACATGGAAGGAGTTTCAAGAAGTAAGAATTCAGTTTGCATTTAGAGCAAACAGACCAGCTTTAATTGAATCGGGGGCTGAAAAAGTTATTAATTTTGAAACCTGTGGCCTTCAGTTCCCAGAACTACAACACCCAGAAACCCCAGCGGGTGGTGGCTGCTGGGCTTTGGAGTGGAGCCACATGGAAGAAGTTTCAAGAAGTAAGAATTCAGTTTGCATTTAGAGCAAACAGGCCAGCTTTAATTGGATTGGGGCCTGAAAAAAGTTATTAATTTCAAGGCCTGTGGACTTCAACTCCCAGAATTCCCCAGACAATATGGCTGGCTGGGGAATTCTGGGCATTGAAGTCCATCCATCGTTCAGCTGCCGAGCCTGAGAAAGGCTAGCCAGGAAGACGTCCGGAGCTTTGAGAATGATGTATTAGAGCCAGATTCTATTCATCAGAGGCGCAATGTTGCTGTACTACAATTCCCACCATCCCCAGCCGCAATAAATCCCATTGTACAGGAGCTCCGATAGGGCAGTTCTTGAACGTAAATCCTGAGCGTGCAATATATGCATCCTTCGGCCAATAGTTCAACCCCCGTATGTATGAAACGAGCAAACATCAAGCAGACTAGGATTAATAGTAAGCGTATGGAGGGTCCCAACCCAGGAATGAAGCTACGGTTGGCGGAAAAGAAGAGAGAATTTTCCAAACGCTGGAAGCTGAGACATAAACCCCGTAAGCTGGCCTAATCCTGTTTAGATTATGGTCTGTGTATAAATAGCGCTTCTGAGTTCCTAGATAAGATCCTCAGAGCTTTGTTGGACCAAACCGCAGCTAAAACTGCATTGCAAAAACCAAATGAATCCTAAATTAAGTACTTTGCCTGCTGCATTGGTTCATCTCTTTAAATTAAATGCCCCCCCCAAAAAATGGCTACTGGCATCTGCAGGGCGGTCAAAAAAAAGTCAAAATAGTGACCCTGTCAACGCCGCTAACATCGGATGTTTTTGCATTGGCAACAGACAGAAATGTAGCCATCTTTTACCTTTTGCTTTTAAGAGTTAGATGATGCTGGGAGGGGGGATGTGAACGAGAGTCCAGCTAGACATAACAACACCAAACCTAGGGTGAGAATCAAGGTTATTGTAACCAGAGCTGATAAGGATTTGGCAAGCCTGCGCATGCTTCAAGCTAATTGGGGAATGTGATTTATGACGGTTAATTGGAGGAGGGAATGGTGCTTGGATACTACGTGCTCAGGGGAGGGGAATTCAGTTTTTGGCTTCGATTATGCAGTGCCGATGCTATGCTACTCAAAATAAAGATCCTTTAAGGTAAACAATGCCTCGAAGTTCTTTTGAAGAGTTTCACCTGTCAGAACCATGACAGACACCCCCCACCGATTCGTTGAAGCTCCATCCTTGCAATCCCACGTAAACAAGGATAAAACTTTGGTGATGTGGGGTTGGGGGCCGCCATTTTGACTTTTTTGACCTCTCGGGGTTCCAGATTTGTTTGCTAACCTTTTCTAACCTGCTTTTCTTCCAAGTCTCTCTTTTAAAAAAAAAAAAAAAAAAGCGTAAACAGACACGCACAAATTACTACTAAAAGATTTTATCTGGCAAGGTTACATGGAATAAAGGTGGCCGCACGTCGGGTTATCTACAGCAGACGGCTGCGGGGTGGAAATAAAACTTTCGTAATCCTCCCCCCTCCCCAAAAAATAGTCTTTGCGTGATTCGGGCACCTTGGCTTTGCAAAAAACGAGCAAAACGTTGGCCAACGTTCCCCAATGTTTGACTTGAGATGGGCGCCCCCTGGTGGAAGCTCTGAGTATGACTCCCACTGGCGCCCCCTGCTGGATGAATCAGGCTCCTGGCGCTGGGCGTCGCACTCTTGTTTCCTTGCCTTGGGTTCGAGGTTTATTCCAGCCTCTTCCCAAGCCGCTAATTGTCCACCGTGAATATCCGTATCAATATTCCGACGGCTAGAATGCCCACGGCGGCAGCCACCGCCAGTCCCCGTCTCACAATCAGTTGTTTTGTGGTCAGAACTCGGCCTGTCCTGGGGACACTGGCGGGCTTCTTGTCCGGCAAGTTTGGGCCATCTATGACAGTGAAACTCAGCAGCACGACACCGTTCTGGGCATTGGTGAGTCCTGGAACAGAAAAGGACAGGTGGGTCTCGGATTCAGCTACAGCAGTGGTTCTCAACCTTTTTAATGCCGCGACCCCAACCGGTCGTAAGTCAAGGACTAAACCGGTCGTAAGTCGAGGACTAAACCGGTCGTAAGTTGAGGACTTTCTCTGCCCGGGAGCGCCGCACATGTGTGGTTCCGCCCCCTGCGCCGGCCGAGGCGTAGCTGGCAAGCGGCAGAGACGGAGCAGGCCGACCACCAGCTGGCCCAGCCCAAGGGAGGTAAGGCACCCGCCGGAAAAGGGGGAAAAAATGGCGGACAAAAAAAATGGCGGACAGCCTTGCTTGGCGACCCCCATGAAATGGTCGATCAACCCCAAATGGGGTCCCGACCCACAGGTTGAGAACCACTGAGCTACAGGAAGTCCTTGACTTACGTCCGCAATTGAGTCCAGAATTCCCTATCTTAAAATTAATATTTTTTTCATCCAACTCAAGTTTGCTTTCAATGCTTTTTTTGGGGGGGGGCTCCTTTGCTCACCTCCAAACCCTGCTTTGCCTTCGATATCGGAAGAAGAGACTGCTTTGTCTGGCCGGGGAGCCGAGTTCAAATCTTCCACCGGCTTCTGCGACAGTTTCGCACGGCACTGTGCCTAAAAGGGAAGAAAGAGCCCGAACGGTAGAGATTTTATTAAATGTATTTAAAATATATATATATATATATGGCCACCCAATTCTCACACACAGTGACTCTAATCTAGGCTGTTTACAATCAGGAGGAGATTCCAGGTTTAGTTAATTACTTGGCGTAAGGCGCAGAGTATGTGGATAACAGTAAGAATATATAATATATATAAAAGGAGCACATATCACTATTATTATTATTATTATTATTATTATTAATTAAATTTATATCCCGCCCTTCTCCTTGCGGACTCAGGGCGGCTAACAATCAGATAAAAATACAAAAATAACATTACAGGTTAAAATTAATTAAAAGGGAAATATTTGAATTTGATCCAATTAAGATAAATTTAAAACCCCCTCTAAAAATTCCCCTAGGCCAGTCCCGCAAGCTGGAACAACCATGTCTTA